CATCACATTATCTTTCAGGAAGTAAAGAACATTCTTAGCTGTTTGGCATTTAATGGTGTCTTTGTATCCATTCAAAAGCTGGCCACATGTCGTACATGTACATGCACACCGTCCACGTGCATTAGGTTTTACACTGACAATGTATGGTCTTAATATCAATTTACATCTCTGCTCATGGCTATACATGTACCGTAATCGTAGCTGCTCACCGGTACATGTACTCATTTTTCAGAGTAAAATATTCTTCTCATTTTAGATCACAATTTGCAAGATGAGTTGCCCACAAATGTGGAATTCTGTCATTCTGATTTTTATTAGAGTTTCTTCATGGTGAAGTATCACCCCAAATGTCTTCACACTATCCAGATAAAATTAACATCACAGATTTATTGCATTGCGATAAAATAAATACACATAAGGAGGCCTACATATTGCATTGCTTCATACCAACATGTATTCTGAGAAATGATGTGTACCTTTTGTTCTAATGGGGAACCCTTGGTTTCTTAGACAAACTTAAATAGAAATTGATAACATCTTTCATTCCTGGCACTCAGAGCATCAACCAACTGCGCCATGAATGAAGTTGGTCAAATTGTCAATTGAAGGGTACCTGTAATTGGTCGTCCCGAGTAGAGATCTAGGAAAGCCATGTGGGCAGCTCATTAGCAGCCGCAAGTCAAGCCCACAGGGCTCTCATCATCCCGCGTCTAACCCCTCATCCACCCGAGTGCAATAAAACTTCATTACCAAGTCTAATTGACTCCCACCGCAGGCATACAAATGCGCCCATTCTTAAATGAAGATTGTAGGGGCTAGTGTTTGACCTTTTAAATGCTTTGTGACCTTGATGTGACATGCACACACATGTAATATTGGGCTTCAAGGATTTACTCCAACAAACAGAAAAATCTGAAGGGGGGGTTATTTTGCATCACTGCAATATTCAAAAGGGATTTTTTTAGGCACATGTACTGTCAAAACACCTTTGTGTGGGGTAATTTTGTGTGGGGTAAGAGAACACTTCATGGGGAAAATCAAATTATTGCCTGCAATACTTCCACAATACTTGCAGTTCATACACGTCTGAATACACAGTAAATGTTGTAGACTGGAATTAAATGTTATACGTAGACCTGTACATGTATACATGTACATACTGGGCCAGAGATTTCAACTGCATGTAACTCTGTCAAGTCTCTACAGACACCCCAAGAAATCCAACTGGATCCAACAACAGCCTGTGTAGTCTGCTGAATCTTACAAAAGCCACCAGCAAGATCCATTCCGATGTCTTTGCTCACTCCTCATCATTCAGACAAATCTGATAGATACTGCCAACTGTTGGGCTGTTTTATTTTGAATGCTCATCCGGGAAAAGACAGGGAGAAAAAGAAAGGAACAGAGGCCTCTGGAATCTGCTACAAAAGAAAAAAAAATCAAATTCAACCTCACAGGAAATAACTGAAATATGCATGTGCATTTGTCATCTTGGATGCCATTTTCCACCGCTTCCTTGACACAAACCACAGAACACTTGAGTAATGCACCTGCCTGGCCAGACAGAAATTAAAAAAAAAGGGGGGGGAAGGGAAAAGTAGCCGCATGTATTTCTTGCAGAATTGCAGACAGAAAGAGCCCCTGAATATTACTGGATTCAAGTGCACACACAACCAGACAAAAACCAGGCCCGAGGGCCCCAGACTATCTGAATACTTAATGCACTGGTGAGGAGGCCAGTTCAAGACCCTCACTCGGCTCAAGACAGGTTTGGCAGAATGAACAAACATTCAATTTGGGAGACTGTGGGTCTGTCCCTTGACATTTCAAGCTTTGTATTGCAGTCGCTGCCAAGAGATCAGACTTGTTTCCCCAGATATCATGGCCTGCGACTATCACGCACAATCTAATCACACCATGGGATATTATCAAATCCAGACAGTGAATTTGCTTCGTTATTTCTCAGGTGTATATCTGAGGTAAAAGGTGACGGTGGAGCGCTTGAAAGG